AATGGAGACCTTGCGGACAACTCATTATAATTCAAAATGACATTAAAGAAAACCTAAATTATTAAAAAAAAAAAAAAAAAAGTTAATATACATAATTTTTTATTTATTTAAATAAATAAAAAAAAATATGGGTGGTCATTGAAAAAAAAAATGTCAATTTTGACACTTGTGTGATAATGGTGGTTACCACTAAATTTGACTCTTTATCAATAATATTTGTAGTTGTAAAAAATACAATAAACAAAAATTATTAATAAAAAACAAATTGTGTGCAAAATTATTTTTACTTTTTTTTTTTAAGAAATGGTATATTAAATCATGGCTTGACTACTAGATAAGATTGATCTACACTAATGCTTCAGTTCCGCCCTGATAAGGCAGAATAGATATCGTTATAATCATTTAAATATACCAATTCCGAAATGCACCCTTTTTTTTATTTTTATCAATATTCATTTTTGCTTACTTTTACATGTTTATCTTTATAAAAAAAATAAAAAAAATTTTTTATAAAAACTAAAAACTTTTCTGTAAAAATTTTTTTTTTTTTAAAAAAAAATAAAAAATAAAAAAAAAAAAAAGAAAAAAAATTCGTTTTCGGGTAACGTAATTTTAATTGATATTCTTTAATGAATAATCATACTATTATCCATTTTATTTTTATTTTATTTTTATTTTCTTTTTTTTATTTAAAAAAAAAAAAAAAAGTTTTAATTTACAATATATATATATTCTCGAGTATTACTTGTTATTTACGATTTTATATCAAATGATTTCAAACCACCATCTAATTTTTCAATTTCCTCTATATCATCTTCGTCAATTTCTTTATTTGATTTGAAGAAATGGTGTTTTAATTTATCTCTTAATGAATTCTTTTTATGTTCATTTGTAATACCACCGGTGCTATTGGCATTGTTGGCGCCACTACCTGTAACAACACTATGATATGTACCATTTGGAGTATTGAGCGTATAAATATTTGTATTTGCATTTGTATTTGCATTTGAACTTAGATTACCTGCTGAAATTTGTCTTTTATGTGATTTTTCAGGAGTTTTTTCAGGTTTTAAAGAGTTTTGAGAGTAGCTTGGTTTTAATGTTCTGTCTGGCAGTGATGCAGAAATTTGATTGACTAATGGAATAAATTGATGAACTGATGGAATTAATTCATGAATGTAAGGTAATATTGATCTAGTTCTATCTAATAACTATAGTTTTAAAATAAGGTTAGTGAATGCTTTAAATATTAAAAAGTATAAAATAATTAAAACTTACTTTTGGTAAATTTGGGACTACAACATCCATATGTGGAACTAAATATTGCATGTGTGGAGCTAAATAGTCCAGTTGTGGTACAATAAGATCAATATGGGTCATTAGGGCATTCATATGGGGTAAGAGAGCAGGTATATATGGGGATAGCTCATGCATATGGGCAGCAATTTGGTCGATGTGTCTTAATAGGTCTTCACAATGTGGTACTAAAGCATGTGCATATGGCGATAGGGTGCCAATGAATGGAATTAGTTTTTGAATATTTTCTCTTTTTAATAAAATTTTGCTATATGGTAAGAGAATTTGAATCTTTGGTAATAAAATATCGATATATGGGAGTAGAGATTGATGGCATTCTAAAAGTTCGTCAATGTGATTAATTAAAAAGTTGAAATGTGGCATAAGTGATGGAATATATGGATAAAGTTTGTTGATTAGCGGAATAAGTTTATGTGAGTGATACATTAACAATGAGGCGTGTGGTAAAAGTAAATTAAGATGTGGTAAAAGTTTTGGACAATATGGTAAAAGAATTTCACATCTTGGGGCTATAATATGGGCGTATGGGAGTAGATCGTTGATGTGTGGAATTAATATTTTAATATATGGTAAAATATCTTGAATATGTGGCTCGATTACGGGAATATAGGGTATTATATTATCACAATTCTTGATTAAGATATCGATGTGTGGCTTTAGTTCTTTGAGATGAGGTTTTATATATTGAGCATATGGTGCTAACAGTCTAGTTTTAGGAAGAATATCTTTGGCATATGGTAAGATATCAAAGAAGTGGTCAAAGATAACATCAGTATGTGGTAAAATAACATCTATTTCTTTAGAAATGAGCGGCATTAATGGATCTAAATGGACCAAGTGTGGTAAAATTTTATCGATGTGTGGTAATAGTTCGTCAATGTATGGTAATAATTGTCTAGAGTAAACGGAAAGAAAGTGTAAATGTGGTAAAAGTTTGGGTATATATGGTTCTAATTTTTTCATGAATGGTAAAGTGTGTTTGCATTCTGGTAATAAAACATTTAAATAGGGTGCCAATTGTTTGAAATGTGGTGATATTTGATCGACGAATGGTAATAGGTCACCCATGTATGGTTCTATAATATCGAAATTGTCTAAAATTTCGTCAAGATTTGGTGAGATTGCATCGATGTGAATAAAGATATCTTGAATGTGTGGGTATACTTTTGGAATAATATGTATAATTTTTGGTATATTATCTGCGCCAAGTTTGTCTAAATTCTCTAAAACTAATGCTAAATGTGGTGCTATATATGGTAATGAATCGATAAGTTCTGCTAAATATGGTTCGAATAATGGTAATCTATCTATAATTTCATCTTGATGAAATAAAATTGTTCTCCAATAAGGTAGTATTTGAGTTTTCTTTGAATATAATAATGGAAAGTATTTTATAATAATTCTAAAAAAGAGTAGTTTTTATATTATATTAGTAAAATATTATATACATATTATTTTTAAAAGATTTAATTTGAAAATAATAAAATTAATTAATTTTACCTTATCTTTGAAATAAATCTAGCTGCAGAAGTTGGGTAGAAATATATATATGCAAATGTGTAAATTACTAGACCCCATAGCATAGCATGAAACGTTGAAAAATCCAAAATAAAATTCATTTTTATTTATTTATTTTTATTTTTAATTATTTGTTTTATATTATAATTAATATTATATATTTTATATAGTATTACTATTATTTTATTTATTTATATGTCCATATTATTTAATTATTATATTTATAAAAAAAAATAAAAAAACAAATAAAAAAAAAAAAAAGTTTTTTAATTATTTTATTATTTTATAATATTATTTATATTTATGTTATTTATATTATTGCTTTATTATCTTTATTATTTATAGCCCTAACTATTTTATCTGTAAATTTTAATTATTTTGTTTTATTTGTTTATTTATTTTATAGCAAAGTAATGTACGTGTTGTGGGTGTGGTATATTATATAATAAATAGCATTAATTGTGAACAATAAAGAGGTGTGTTTATTTCTTTTGGATAATGGAATTTAAATAAAAAATAAAAAAAATAATGACGAAAATTTTTTAATTTTTTTAATTTATTTTTTTTAATTTAATTTTTTTTTTTTTTTTTTTTTTTTTTTTATGGTAATAACCAACTTTTAATTGAAAAAAATGGTTTTATGTATAACAATCATGATGAAATTCTTAAATTCTTTTAAAAAACAATGGTAATACATTACAACATTTTTTTTTTATGATATCATTTTAGATAAGGTAATATTTCTTTTTTTTTAATTTTTTTTTTTATTTTTTATTTTTTTATTTTTTGGGGATTTCATCTCCAACCATATTTGAATTTGAATCAACATCGTTATAATTTTTTTTGATGATGAAATAAAAATCCAAAAAAAATTTTAAGGTTATATTTTATTTTTAAAAAAAAAAAAAAAAAATGAATTTTTCTAACGCAAATAAATTAAAAAACTTAAAGGATAACATGATTTGAATCAAATAAAATGAGTTTTTACTTTTATTTTTATTTATTAAGTTTTTTTTTTTTTTTTTATTTATTTATTATTGGTCAGTACTATTTAAATTATATTGAGAAATATCGTTATTTTGGTCAACTAAAATCATTTTTTCGTCAAAAGAATCAATGAAATAAATGTTTTTTGGATTGTTATTATTATTACTGCAAAATTTAGGTATTCCTAAAGAAACTGGTTTGGGATTTTTAAAAGAATCGTCAGGTGAAAAGTATAATATATAGTTTTCAAATGTTACAAAGAAACCAGTTTTTCTCGTGAAACTAGCAATATTGGTATTGCTAATAATAATTGAGTTATTATTTGTATTGTTATTATTGTTATTATTATTATTATTATTGTTGTTATTAGCAGTATTATTGTTGTTATTATTAGTAATATTACTATTTGTTTGTTGGGGGTTATGTATTTGTGCTTGTTGTTGGGTTTGCTGCTGTTGTAATTGAGATTGTTGAAGTTGAATTTGTTGTTGTTGTTGTAAAAGCTGTTGTAATGATAGTTGAATAATTTTTCTTTCATCTTTAATATTATTTGGTGTTATATAATAAATTGGAGAGTTATTAAATAGTCTGATAATTTGAACTAAATTGTTATTTTTAAATATTAATATATGGCCATCGTTGGTTCCAAAAAAGAATGTATCGAAAGAATAGACATAGCAACAGTGAATATTGGTCATTTGAAACTCTTTGCCAAAAATTGCTTTTTTCTTTAATATCATTGTATCATTCATTGTCCAAAAGTTTATATGTTGGTCACCAAATGTAATCATCGAATACATGTTAAATGGATTAAAAGATACCCCATTTACATGATAGGTATTTGGGGAGCTGATGATCATGGACCCACTTTTTACATCCCATAGAAATAGAGTATATTTGTCATCACTGGCCAAGCCTACAAGTCGTGAGCTATCATTTGAAAATTTTAATCCATATATTTCATTATATCCTCTTGGTACCGAAATACTAGTAATTTGGTTCATTGATATTAAATCCCACACTAGAACGGTACTTGTCAAATCATTTGGATGGTAGTGGCTAGATGCAGCTACAGTTCTCTTTTCATTAACTGTAAAGTAATTGATCTTATCTAAACACTTGATTGTTTTTTTTTCTCCTTTTTTATCTACTATTACCAAGGTATCTAAACTTGGGTAAATTAAATCGCAGTCACCAAAAAAATAACAATGATTTCTTGTAAAAAAAAAAAAATTATTATTAATAAATTAAATATTTATTTTATAATATAAATATATAATAAAAATTACCTATTTATATTTAAATTTTCATGATTTTGATAGTTCATGTTATAATGATGGTTATTTTGGTGATGGTTGTTTTTATTATTGAAATGAACACCACCATGGTGAGTTGAAGTGTTTTTATAATCGCTCGAACTTTTAATATTAATTCTATTTTCACAAAATTGTTGTGACATTTGGCGTTGGTATGATGGTAATAAATTGTGATGTTGGTGTTGATGAGGATTTTGGGAGTATTGGTTTTGATGCTGTTGATGTATTATAATTGATGGATGCTGATAGTTTGATGGGATTTGCTGTGGTGGCTGTGGCTGTTGCTGGTTCGAATACTCTTGGATATAAATATCATTTTTACCGATCATTTATTACTTTCTTTTTTTTTTTTTATTTTATTTTTCCCTCTATCTTTTAATAAACTGATTTATTATATAAATATATTTAAATGAAATTAAAAATTTTTATTATTTATTTTTTTATAAAAAGAATTATATAATTCTTTTTTTTTTCTATTTAAAATAAAGAGAAATACATGTAACTATATTGAAATAAATGAGATAAAATATTAATATTATTAATATTATTTTAATTATGGAGATTACTATTGATAAAAAGAAAAAAAAGAAAAAAAAAATAAAAAAATAATTATTTTACCACAAAATTATTTTTTATTTTTTTTTTTTCATACAATGTTTATTGTAATATTAAAAATTATATTAATAAAATTATTTTATGAATGGATTTCAAAACAGTAACACACATACATAGATACCCCATATTAACAATTTTAAAAAAAAAAAAAAAAAAAAAAAAAAAAAAACCCCCATGCACAAATTAATATTATATGAAATTTTTTTTTTTTGGCTTTATTAACTTTATTTAACTTTAATTATAATTTTAATTTTAATTTTAATTTTTTAAAATATTTTTTTTTTTTTTTAATTTTTTTTTTTAAAATTTCGTTTTTTTTTTTTTTATAATTTTTTATTAATTTCATATTCGTATTATTTTATTGTAATAAAGATATTAATATAATAATGGATGCTTTATGTGCAAATCCAGGTTGTGATAAACCAGCCAAACTTCAATGCCCAACTTGTGTAAACTTAAAATTGGAAACACCATCACATTTCTGTTCACAAGAATGCTTTAAATTATTTTGGCCAATCCATAAATTATTTCACACTCCATCAAACAACACAAACAGCGATTTACCACCAGGTTTCAGACATTACAAATTTACTGGACCATTAAGACCAGCTAAAGTTACTCCTATGAGAAAAGTACCAGAAGGTATTCAATTAACAGATTATGCCATTGGTTGTAAGTATTTACTTTATTTATTTTTTTATATTGAAAATATCGCTCATTATATAATCACATCTCTTTACTAATACTTTTTTAATTACTATAGCTATCCCAATTAGTGAAAAAGCATCAGATAGAAAGAATGCACCAATTGTAGTTCATACACCAGAAGAAATTGAAATTATGAGAGAATTAGGAAAAGTAAATATTGGAATTATAATATAACATTCAAAAAAAAAAAAAATAGAGTATTAAAATAACTTATTGAAATATTATATTTAATTTAGATGTCAAGAGAGGTTTTAGATATTGCAGGCCATTCAGCAAAAGTTGGTATGACAACCGAAGAATTAGATATTATTGTTCACAATTCAATTGTCGAAAGAGGAGCATATCCATCACCATTAAATTATTATAAATTCCCAAAATCCTGTTGCACGTATGTATTTTTACAAAAATATAATAAAATAATCATAATATTAATTCAAATTTCCTAAAATTATAGATCAGTAAATGAAGTTATTTGTCATGGTATTCCAGATGAAAGACCATTAAAAGATGGTGATATTTTAAATGTAGATGTCACATTATATTGGAAAGGTTTCCATTGTGATTTAAATGAAACATACTTAATTGGAAATGTAGACGAAAAGGGTAAAAAATTAGTACAAACAGCTTACGAATGTTTAGATTTAGCAATTGCAATGTGTAAACCAGGGGTATTATATAGAGAGCTTGGTAATGCTATTCAAAAACATGCAAATAAAAATGGTTTTTCAGTTGTAAAGAATTTTTGTGGTCATGGTATTGGCAGATTATTCCATTGCAACCCAACTGTCCCACATTATTCAAAAAATAAAGCTGTTGGAACAATGAAGGTTGGTCATGTTTTTACTATAGAACCAATGATTAACGAAGGAACATGGCAAGATGAAATTTGGCCAGATGATTGGACCGCTGTTACTTGTGATGGTAAAAGAAGTGCCCAATTCGAACATACTCTCGTTATTACAGAAACAGGTTGCGAAGTACTCAGCAAGAGAATGGAAAGCTCGCCCAAATTAGCTTTTATTTAAAGATACAAATATTTTAATATTTTATTTTAAAAAAAAAAATCAATCATATATAATCATCGATATAATTTATTTATATAAATTAATGTAAAAATATAAAAAAAAATAAATAAAAATTAAAGTTTATTATTTATAGTTTTTTTTTAAAATAATTTATAATTTGATTTTATTTTGTTTTATAAAAATTTATTAATTCCCACCAGTTTTGTATTATATTTTATAGTTTATAATTAATTATGGTTTAGATTTTTTGTTAAAATTAGAATTTTTTTATAATAATTTAATGAAGTCAAATGTTTGAACATCATTTGTATTGGTAATTGATTTGAATGAAATTACTAAATTACCAGATTCGAGTGACCATAACCAATAGCCATTTTGTGTGGCATTGTGTTTGATAACAATGGTATGATTTGAAGTGGCTTCTTGAACAGCTTCTAATACCATTTCATCAGCACAACGTTTGGCAAGATTGGCTGCAATTTTTTCGACAACTCCTGCAAAAATATGACCAAAGCTATTTTTTAAATCAGCAGCAACATGTGGATAAACAGCTTCTAAAGATGATTGGTCGATGTTCCAATCAGCATCGGACTTCATTGCTTTTTTAACAGCGGCTAAATTTGCATCCATTTTGGCTTGATTTTCTTTAATATTTAAACGAGTCATTAAAGAGTAAACACCTTCACTTGGAAGAATAGTTTCTAACTTGGTGGTAAATACATCATTGGTATTACAGATTTTTGGACGGAATGAGACAATACAGTTACCATCAGCGAATGAGTATTGCCAATATGATGGTAATTTTTCATCGGCAGCAACAAAAACAATTTTCTTATTTGGAACAGCAGCTAAGAAGGCTTCTTTAACTAAATCATTTTTACTAACTTTAGTATCAATGTTTTTGGCTAAATTACCAACAACCTATTTGTAACCCAGTTATCATTACATTTAGTAATAATATCTTCGAAATCAAAAACGATTTCAAATGGTTCACCTAAAGCTTTTTCAATGGTAGCTAAATGAGTTTTAAAAGTTTCTTCATTATCTTTTAATGATTTTCTTGAAGTTAATGATAAAGGCATTTTATTAAATATTATTTTGAATTATATTTAAACGTTTAGGTTTTTTATTTATTTTATTTATATATTTTGATTTAATAAAAAATAATAAAAGCATTTCTTTTATACTAAGGTTTTAAATAAAAATTAAGAAATTTTTTATCAAATAAATGGTGTATTTGAAAGAAAAAAGAAATGAATTATTGAAACTATTAGGAATGGAAATTTTATAAAAAATCTTTTTTTTTTTTTTTTTTTAATATCTTTTTTTATTTATTTAAATTTTGAAAAAATGTGGTGAGTCTGGTTATAATTGGAAAAATAAACTTGAGGAAAAAATTTTAGAAAAAATATTGTTTTGAATAAAGAGTTTATTTATTTTTTATTTTAATACAGAAGAAAAAAAAAACCCTATATATGGATAATTTTTTTTTTTTTTTAAAGTTAAAATGGATGTTAAGTCGTCAAATACATTTAAAGAGTTAGTCAGAAAATAGGGACACTAATTCGTTAAACTCTTTAACACCCATCTCTGCTGCTGAATTTACTTGATCAGTTTCATTATTATTATTGCCATTATTATTGCTATTATTATTGCTATTATTATTTTCATTATTTTCATTGTTATTTGAAGTTGAGGTTGTTGTATTGTTTGGTTTTTCTGTTAAACCAAGCTTGGCAACTTTGGTAAAGTAGTCAACAATTAAATAACCCAAAGCCTCTGGACCATCATTAGTTGGATCTGGTTCAAAGCAACAATCTCTTAAAAACAATGGGAGGTTTGTGTAGAAATAATAGATACAAGCTTTCTTTAATTCGGTTGCTTCGTGGATACTGGCCAAATTCATCAATGAGACCAAATTTGATGCAGAAAGTGTTTCACCAATTAATTCGCAACATTTAACTTTGAGTCCATCGAGCATATATTGATTAGCCAAAATTAAAAGATCTGTTAACCAAATATTTGGATCTGAATTTGGAGCTTGTGATGCCGAGTTACTTGGAAGATCATCTGTGTAAAGATAACATAACAATGCTAAAAATACTTCTTTTGATACGCTTGGTACTACAATTTCATTATTTCTTGTTCCGCTTTCACGCATTCCATTGGTGAATAAAGCTTTAAAGTATTTGGAACGAGCACTTAAAATAACCTTGTGTGCATAGATTCTTTCGCCTATCGAATCTTCATTCTTTCCAACAACAAAAACAACATCGCTGAATTGTTCATTATTTAAATAATGCTTCATATCGAGGCCAATTGATGGGAAAAATGGGGTTTGTGAATCTGCTGAACTATTACTATTTGATGATCTTAAATTTGATTGCATTTGTTTAATATTTGACCCATTTTGGCCATTGTGTATATTGAAAGAACCAACATGTTGAAGGTATGCTGGGACTGGATATAAATATTGTTCAAACAACGGATTCTCTCCTAATGGTTGATAAATAAAATGTGGTGCATTTGGTACCAAATGAAAAATTTGTTGAGGTAAAAGTGCCACGTGTTGTGGAGGATTTTGTACATGTTGTTGTTGTTGTTGTGGTTGTTGTGGTTGTTGTGGTTGTTGTTGTGGTTGTTGTTGTTGGAGTTGATGTTGAGGTTGTGGTGGTGGTGGTGGTGGATTATTATTATTATTATTATTGTTGTTGTTTGTATTGTTATTATTTGTATTATTAACTTGAGGCTCATTAATATTAGTGGTAGTATTATCCTCATTATTGTTATTATTATTATTTATATTTGGATTTGGATTGGTGTTTGTATTTGTATTTGTAGCTATATTTATATTTGTGTTTATATTATTGGCGTTTGATGTATTGTTTACATTAGTATTTAAAGGTATTGATGCAGTTGCAGGAACAGGTGTGGGTGTGGGGGTTGGGGGTATATTGACCACTTCAGGGGGTTGGGCATCATCT